CCATATTGATCAACCAACCAGTTTATGAATAGGCGGGTGGTTTTGGCCCCTCCAACAGTGGTCAGATTCCCCACGTTTCTCCCAGGGACAGCCCCCTAGTAAACTGAGGTGGATAATATGGGGTCAATCTTACCGTGGATGGTTGCAAAATCCACACCGATCCGCACCAGTTCGGTGGTGATAAACCATTCATTGGCGGCTCCCAGCCATCCCCTTAGCTTTTTAGTGTTTAGTGGGGTTTTCCATTTAGCCCACCAAAAGTTAAACTTTTTGCGGGGGATTTGAGGACAGCCCAGATTCATACGCTTTTTTGTTGATGCCAACTGGTGCAGGATTTGGTATACCCACCCTACCACGAAACTCCCCAAATTGGAGATTCTCCTGCAAGCCTCGACTGGAGATGGGCAGGGCGTCGCACGATTTGGCAGTTCCTGGTTTGTTGGTCCATGAGCCAAGTTGAAGCCATCGATAGATGGCATAAAGCTTGACTGCTATTGGGTTGGATCTTTAGATTTTAACTTTTGGGGAAATAAAGGTGCTTTCCACTCAACCCCAAAAAAGTTAAACTTTTCGCAGGGGGGTCAACAGCAACCAAGAAAGCAGATCACTTGTGGTTCTGGTTTACTAACTCAGCAGGGGTTCTACCCCGAAAGCTGGCCAGTTGATCGTTGTATGAGGCACTGATGCTGAGCGTTAGTGACGTAGAGTTCTTGTTTGCCCAAAAGGATACTTCAAGGAGACGGCCATGGTTCAAAACCAATGGTACCATTTTGGGGTAGGTGCACCACCCATTTTAGAACCTATTTTAGTGGTTGGATTGACTCGGATGTTCACTGGGGGCTAACCGATTTGGGTTTTGAAAAGCCCATGGCCATATGAATTTCTTTAGGCAAGTTATAGCTCGAGCTCGGGGATTCAGACGCGCTCCTGGAGCCTTGCGCGGGGATCCCTCGCTTTCACCGAGGGGGAATTGGCATGTTGTGCCCGTAGGTGTCCTTTTTTTTTGTTCGGCTGGAAACAGCTGGCATTTGTTTAGACGGGTTGCATGCCCCATTTACCAGGTCCATGTATTTTTCCACTGGGCTGCGATATGCCGCAGTGCCTAATTGTTCCTTGCCCTTCCCCATATACAATCCATCGGATAAACGGCTGTTCAAGGCCATAAGAGTATTTTGCGAGTAGCTAGCAGGTGTGTGCGGGTTCGCCGTTGGGGTCGAGCATGGGTACCTTCAAAAAGAAGCAGGTCCTTTCCCAGTTTTTGCATTTGCCCTGGTGTCCGCGTCTTTTTCTTTGAACGCCATCTAAAGCTCCCCATTTTTCTGGACACAAAATTAGTTTGGACTCAGATGCGAGCAATTGGAGGTGTTGCTGCTTTGCGCGGCATTGTAAGTCTGCACCAAACGACAAATCACAAATCCCATGGTTGCAGACGATATGGGTCCCAAAATCTATGAGTTGCCTTTTAGTGTTCCTTTAAAACCAACCAACAAGGGGGTCCCTTAAAAGATAGCAACGCCCAAATATGTCTCAGGGCGGCTTTCTGTGATATCAAGATGCCAAAGCTCTTGACTGCTTTGGCAAGGATCATTTCCCACAGGGGGTGACAACATAGGTACGCGGAAACAACCGGATTGACGGATAGCTCTGTGTTTCGACGAATCGGAAATGAAAGGAAAATGAATAGGAAATACGAGCAATTAAGGGATCTGATCTGATCTGCGCTTCGGTTCGCGTCTTTGCTCAGCGGTTTTAGGGGGGGTTAAGGGCCGATCCCAGCCATAAGTAGCTGCGGCCGCCTTCATAATTCTTTATATGGTTCTGGGTAGACCATTTCTCATAGCCGGGTTTTGATTATGACTCGGTTGGTGAGCGCCTGGGGGGCGGGTCCTCCACAATGGCCCAAAACCGAAACCGAAAGCACTCGGCAAGGAAGGAAAATGACTGGGAAACGAGGCTCCATGTCATTGTTGCCAAGAAGGCTGGCTTAACAACATCCAGGTCCGTGCCCCAAGTTCCAAGGTTTCACTTGGAAACTTTGTCTCAGGGACCCTAAACCTCTGAACGGGTTACGATTGCGAAAGGATCACGTGTGCAGCATCCGAAAGGAACTAATGAAAAAATGATGGGTGGAGGGAAGTGGAGCATGTCTGAGGTACGGCCCAGACCCTGAACAGGGGTCCTTAGAAGATTTTAGAGGTGCTCAACTTTGCTGCTCAGCAGGGAATGAAAAATGGAATGACCGTCATAAACCATCCAACTGGTGGTTTCCTTAAGGGAATCCCTGGGTTCATTCCCAGATTCCCTACCTTTCGCACCAGCAAGTTTTTCCCCAATGTCCATGGAGACGGCTTTGCTGTTGCGACCGCTAGCCCTTGGCTCAGGGCATGGGAGCCGGTTGCCCGGAATGCCATTGAGGGATCCTTTAGTTCCAGTATGGGGTGGTTTAGAAATCACCCCCAAAAGTCTTGGTGGAGCTGCGAGCTCGGAATATTAGGATGAA